GTTCCCCTTGAATGGCATGGATCCAATTATCTGGTGCGAGAGGCCTCTTAACCCTTTCACTGTCGGTCCTGTAATATTACAGCTTGCAAGCCAGTGTCGGTCGCATAATACTACACCAAAATTCTAGCAGCTTCCAATCTTGCGGGAGAAAGCTGGTAGGCCTACATGTACTTTAAGAGAATGGGTCTGAGTGGTTAGTGTGTGCAGTATAAAAAAAATCCTACAGCATACAGTACAAAATGAGGAAAAAAAAAAACTCCAATGGTGTTTTTGGCTTAACCCTTTCACTGTCGGTCCCATGATATTACGGCTTGCAAGCCATTGTCGGTCCCGTAATATTAGGCCAAAATTCTAGTGGCTTCAGATCTTGAGGAAGAAAGCTGGTTGGCCTACTTATGAGAGAATTGGTCTTGAGTGGTCAATGTGCACAGTATAAAAAAAATCTTGCAGCACACAGTGCATAATGAGAAAAAAAAATCCAACTGTGTTTTTGATTTAAAACACTGATTTTGCTGTGTATATTTGTATGGTATTTATGGTTGTATTCTCGTTTTCTTCGTCTCATTTGATAGAATGGAAGATATATGACAGAAATAGAAATGATTTCGAGTAGTTTATAGACTACAAGTACAGTGGTCCCTCAATAATCGTCCGGCCTGAAAGTCGTCCATTTCGGAAATAATCCTGTTTTTTCGTCAAAATATTGGCTCGCAAATGGTCCGGTAACTCGCTAATAGTCCTAATAGTCCTTCGTCCCGGACACATACTCACGCTCTGAGCCGCCTCGGCCTTTCCTTCCCAGCCAGTGTGCCATTGTTTACCAGTGAGTGACGGTCCCCTCACATGCTCCTATGAAATATTTCATAATATTCCATGGATTTTAGTGCTTGCAAGTGCTAAATAAGCTATCATGGCTCCAAATAAAGCTTCTAGTGCCAGCCCTTTGGTAAAGAATGTGAGAAACACATAATTTATGAAAAAGTTTGTAGAAAAATGCAAAGATGGTGGTGGTAGAGTGGAAGCAGTTGTGTTAGTGGTTGATGAACATAAGAAAGGAGGATCACTGCAGCAGGTCTGTTGGCCCATGCTCGGCAGATCCTTTACAATTCATCCCACTAACGAAACATTTTCCCAACCCAGTCCTCAATGCTACCCAAAAAATAAGCTCTGATAACTCTATCCACTCATTTGCAAGTCCCAAATGAGTGGATAGAGTTATCAGAGCTTATTTCCTGGGTAGCATTGAGAACTGGGTTGGGAAAATGTTTCGTTAGTGGGATGAATTGTAAAGGACCTGCCAAGCATGGGCCAACAGGCCTGTTGCAGTGATCCTCCTTTCTTATGTTCATCAACCACTAACACAACTGCTTCCACTCTACCACCACCAGCTTTGTATTTTTCTACAAACTTTTTCATAAATTGTGTTTCTCACATTCTTTACCAAAGGGCTGGCACTAGAAGCTTTCTTTGGTGGTAGAAGGTAGTAGTGATGGTGGTAGAAGGTAGTAGTGATGGTGGTAGAAGGTAGTAGTGATGGTGGTAGAAGGTAGTAGTGATGGTGGTAAGAGTTGTAATAGTGGTAGAAGGTCGTAGTGATGGTGGTAGTGGGTTCCTTCTTTAGTGGTTCAGCGATTCTACCAACTCCTCCAATGTTGTTGGAGTTATATAGGGCTACAAAAACCACCGCCGACTCAGCTGCTGTTTCACCACCATTATGGACGGCTTACACTCAGTGGCCCTTATATACCCAACAACAACACAACACCTCTCGTGACATACGTAATGACTTATTTTATTCATTCTAGAGTATATTCCATGTTTCTATGTTATTAATATTGTTTATTATGTCATATTAGTTGAATTGTGATAGATAAATAAGCCATAGAGTTGATATTAGTGTCATATTCTCCAACAATAAACTTGCCATCCCTCCCTCACACAAACAAATAGCCAATAAGAACATAACAATGGAAGAACACTGCAGGTCTACTGGCCCATACAAGGCAGGTCCTTATAAAAATGACCTCCACCCAAAGCTACCCAAGAATTTACTCCCGTACCCCATGACAAATCAAACTCAGCTCCTCCAACTCGTATATTTGTCCAATCTCTTCTTAAAGCTACCCAAGGTCCTAGCCTCGATCACCCTACTGGTAAATGTGATGTTAAATAAGAACTTAAGAAAGTAGGAACACTGGAACAGGCCTGCTGGCCCATACTAGGCCGGTCCTTCACAAATCCAACCCACTAACAGAACAAATGCTACCCAAGCAATAAACTCAGGTGCAAATCCGACTCAAATCCAGCCCCTTTCACTCGTGTCTTTATCCAACCTAAATTTGAAACTACCCAAACCATAGCTTTTAGAACATTGGAAAGGAGGAACACTGCAATAAGCCTGTTGGCCCATACTAGGCCAGTCCTTCACAAATCCAACCCACTAACAGAACGAATGCTACCCAAGCAATAAGCTCAGGTGCAAGTCCGACTCAAATCCAACCCCTCTCACTCGTGTATTTATCCAACCTAAATTTGAAACTACCCAATGTTGTAGCTTCGATCACCCTACTAGGCAGACCGTTCCACTCATCAACTACCCCTATTACCAATGTTTATTTATACATTTTATTAGTGCCCTAGAGTCCTTATGGAGGGGGATTTCCCTTCCAAATAACCTCTCTTCCCTCTCTCCTCATCCCTGTCTTCCATTCATCAACAACAGCCTTCAATAAAGATAACTGTCATGTTGAATGTTCATTCTCTTGTGCATGTAAATCTATCTTTTAGGTAAAAAAAAAAAAAATTGTTGATACTTCTGGGTGTCTGGAACGAATTAATTGGATTTACATTATTTCTTATGGGGAAAATTGATTCGAAAATCATCCATTTCGATAATAGTCCCACTTCCAGGAACGGATTATGGATGATTATTGAGGGACCACTGTACCTTGAAATTGAGCTCAAAGTAGTGGAAATGTTCAATTTTTGCCGATGTTCAAGAGTAAATAAATCACGTCATGTGTCCAATACACGTCAACTGGTGGGTTTAACATGCCTTCATAAATGTGCTGATATTATTTATACCATTTTTACATAATACAGTAGTCTGAATAACAGTAAATCTTCTATTTTTTTGTGTGAATAAAATTTCAAAATGGAAAGCAAGCATAATATAAGAGGGGCCTGGAGACAAGGCTAATGAACAGGGAAAACATTATTTTAGTCCTATGAATGTTAGTATTGTTAATTCTAGACCCTATTTTGAAATTGGTATTATGTGAATTGTGTATGAAATTGGCCAAATTACCAATTTCTGATCACTTTATTGGTAGTTGAAACCGTTAAACGGGTAGTTTCTTGTACTCAGTCAATAGAACAAATGAAGCTCTAGTGAAATAGCTATGAGTTAGTGACTGGAACAATGAAATTGGCCGAAAATAGGGCTCAAAGTGGGTGAAATTGCCGAGGCTGCTAAATTTGTGAGCGTAATTCCGTAAGTTTTCCATCAGTTTTCATACTTTTGGCGTCATTACAATCAGGAAGAGATTCTCTATCATTTCATAAGGATTTTTTTTTTTTTAAGTTCTTCGACACAGTGGAAGTTTGTGAGCAGGAGTCTGACAGTGAAAGGGTTAAATGGGGAGGTAGTTGCTAAACAAATTTATTATATGAATAATTTCTAAGTGGGCAATAACTGCATTATTACTGCACTATTATAATAATAATAACTTTATTATTTATTATGTTTATAATATTTATATTTATTATTAATTTTTTAGTGAACTAGTATTTTATTTCTTTATTGTACAGTATTGTATTGTAATTTCAAATTTCGAGGTCAGAATCTGAAAGCATTATCTTTGTTATTCAAACATTTCCAAATTGGAGAGATTCCAAATTAAAGTTTGGAATTTTCACCTTTAATCCAAAAATTATGAATTTTATAGATTTCAAAATAAATTTACTTTAATAATTTTGGAGAATTCTGTATACCAGAGAGTTGTGAATGAGAAAAAATGTACAAAATTCCTAACTCATATCTTGACTTCATGTTTCTTGCACTTGTATGATTTGATATTGAAGAAACAAAATTGACTTCATAGATGATTGAAAATATACAGTACTGTAAATGTTGCTATTTTAGTTATTAATCTGTGACCCATTATCTGTTTACTTGTTATAGACCATTAAAATATCAAACAAGATAGGAGTGGCGAGTCATTGCTTTTGTCATACAGGTCCGGGGATTGAACCTTGTGCCGGGATAGAATAAAAAAAACAGTCTATTAAACTTGCTTTCTCAATCAGGAAAAAATACACTGAAATAAATGACCTAATTATTGGGATGAATTTACCTTGTATAGCAGTTTAATTACCACATACGTGTACATGTATACTGGAGTTACTTTGGGTTGATATTTTATGAGGTTTTAAACCTTTTAGATATTTTTTAAACGAGTACATAAAGCTTACTAAACATTGCATTATGTGCTCACTTTGGTAAGTATAGGACTTGTACAGTTTTCAGCTATTGAAGAAAATTAATTTTGTATTTAATGTATTGTGATGAGATGATTTAATAATGTGATTGGTTATGTAATTTATTATGTAACTTGAACTTCATCAAAATATACATTTTGTGTAAGAGAGGTTTATTATTAAATTGTAGGTTTTGTGTATTTATGAAGGATGATACATTGCTTATTCTCCTAGTCCTTCATTGTTTTTACCAAAGTTAGCCAATTTAAAAATTTTTTTTTTTATGTACTGTAAACATACTGTTTATAGTATAGTATGTTTGTGTGTAATTTATATTTTTATACACATGTTATATATTTTATTTTTATTTTTTTCATAATTTCAAATGCAGACCTCATAAGATAATGATTTAACTTTTATCCTGAAACAAGCAAAAAATGATTTGAATTTACAGTATATTTTGAATAATAAGTCATAAAGATGCACTTCAAATTTTATAGTTTGTTATTGCACATTCACAGACGGATGCAGAGGACTTGGTAAGGCGATTATCCAAAGCCATTTGCATTGTTTGGTTATAGCTGTGTTGATGCATGTTCAGTGTTTATCTCTACCAGAGGTTGCTATGTAAGTCTCTCCACACATCGACATGTTCTTGCTTCTATTGTTGTTGTTATCGTTGTTAAAATCGTTGAGATTTGCGTAGCAAATTAATGGTTCCTTTAGATCATGGAAATATAACTCATTAATTTGTATTGCTAGTGAAAATTGCCCTAATATAAGCATTTACTCGAAATAATATAAACTTGTATCCCTTGTAATTCTTGCAATTTTTTAGTTGGTATGTATATACATGCCAACTATTTTTGTTTTACTACTGATGTGAATATTCAGTTCATTACTCACATCACTGGAATTTTCATTGTAAAAAGTTTTATGACTTAAATTCTGGTGTCTAGTTTTTGCCCCTGGAATACTGTATTGAATGAACAATAAATGATGTCTTATGTCAGTTTCCAAGTGTGACTACCAGAACTGCCTATAGGAAAGTAACTCGTCAAACTGTGTATTCTTTTGAAGCTTTTTTTTTTTTTTCACGTTGAGTTAGTCTTGCTGAGAAAATTGCACTGTCATTACAGTATATTTCTGCACACAGCACATGTAGTATTAGCCACATGCACTTTAAAAGACCTTGCACCAAGTTTTGCACAGCTGTATATATTTGTTGTCTGATTGAAATTAATTTAGCACAATGTACTTATGGCTTAAACTGATAACTTTATATGTTTTTAAAAGAATATTTTTCATAATACATGCACTCACATTTGTGTGCTTGTACATACATATACACTCACACGAAGTAGGTAATTATACACATGCAGTACTTGCATATTAGTGGAATATTCTTTCTTGTTTTTCTCATAATATGGGGTAAATATGTATTGTGACCTCTGATCCATCGCAGTCTCTCCTAAAATGTTATTTGGCTCTGATTGTACATTTTTTAATTTTATTAGGATGCAGGCATTATAATCCATATGGTAACAAACTTACACACAGGATATTAAGCACTCATATTATTTAAAAATTTGTGAGTTTTAACTGAGTATCAGAGTTGAAAATTACAAAGTGATTCAGGTTTATAATTATGGGTCATGTTGAACTTGGTTATAACTTTTTTTTATCTTCATATTTTTTAATATTTTTTGTTATTAAATTTTGTGCATAATTTATCTCATTAACTCAAGGCACTACAGTAGGAAGATTGTTTTTACTAGTGATGGATCATGCTTTGCCAACACTTACAATGCAGTTCCATATAATTAAAATGAATGATCATAGGTACACTACTGAAATGTTTGTGTTGATATGTTTATCACATTGTACTCCATGCTTTCATCTCTGTCTGGTTTTCACTTGTGTTGATTACTCATGTCTCTTGTGTGAAGGCATTTATTCATCATATTTACCAGTTCGTGCTTTTTTATCAAAGATCAGTATTGAGAAGCCTGTGTAATGGATTGTACTATCGTTCACAGTACTGAGGATATGGTCACCCTAGTGTGATAATTTGCTTCACATTTCCAAAGCAGCAGCAGTAATAGCTAGATTACATTAAAACAGACCTCGCTCATTCTTTCTTGCAAGCTATTATATTATCGAAGGGTGTGAGTAATGATTAAGGAATGTTAAATAAGAAGACAACCCTCACTCATTCTTATCACAAATGACTATCAGAATAAACCAATAATGCTAATGAATGTTTGTCACCTAAATTTGAGCAACTGTTCCTTGGGTTGTTTAGTCTTGACACTTGAAGCTGTATAGAGGATTGATACTGGAAATGTTTAGTGAAGCTTAAGCATACACCAATCTACTTTTAGTTTAGGAAAACAGTCATCTAGTTGAGTGACACAAAGTATTAGCTACAGTAGTTATTTTATATTTGAGTGAACATTAAATTTTTTGTAAAATGGATAGTATTTTGTGGAATATAGAAATGGAGTTTTAACTTTTTTTAATTAATTGATTGAAAATTTTCCTTAGCTGATTATGTACAACTTGTTTACCCATGTACGATAATTAATAGTACAACAGCCATTTCTGTTATAAAGACTTGAAATGCTGGAGTAAAATGTCAAATATATCTCCTGTTTGCCTTCACTCTTCTCAGTTTTTTGCTACATCAGTGGGTTGTCCTTTTCAGAGAGATCATGTGTTTAGATAAATTTAACAAAAATCAATGATTGCTGCATGTGGTAATCAGGCAGAAATGTCACAACAAAGAATAGCTTTAATTTAGGTTTCCTATCTCATTTGTGCTAAATGTATGATTGTTGAATGTGACATACAGCTTGATGCTTTGTTGATGAGTTCTACTGAATTCATCACATTCCCTAAAATTTTAGGATTTGTTCCCAAAGGATGGGTTTAAACCTAAATTTTAATAGATCTTGGAGTTTACCTTGATGTTTTTGTGGCTGAAACCATTTACTACCATAAATCTGTTGGAGGAAAATTCCTTATACAGTAGGGCCCCACTTACATGGCAAGTTAGGTTCCAGGCTACTGCCAGAGAGCAGAATTCGCTGGAAAGCAGAACACCATTTTTTTCCACTTATAAATGCATATAAATGCCAGATAACAAGTTTACACTAACATATATTAAGTTAGCAATAGAACTAGGTATTAAAAACAATAAAAAGTATAATAAACACACACAGTGCACCCATTACTTATTGAAAATATTTGTAGCCTTAATGTAGGGTGAGAGGTGAGTTTTATTTGTAGGATGTTAAGTTTGGGAGGTATTGTAGCCAGCCAGGTCAGCCCACCCCACCCACATGTAATATACTACAGGTCCGCCATCACAAATCCGGCAATCAGTTATTCGGTTCCTTCAGTTATTCGGCACTAATTGGTTAGCATAATTTCAAATTTCCAGGGTCGCCACACCAACCTGCTGGTACTGTTTGGTGGTGCTACTTGCTGCATAAGTCATTCCAATTTCTTTTTCTCCATTTATTGTTTTAACCTGCTTGCTTTTAGCCCTACCCATGGTTCCAATGAATAAAAGAAATGCTTCTCATTATGTAAAGCACCTACACAGTACATTATTCATTAAAGATAAGGTGGCTTTGAAGCCACTGTCGGTTGCCATGAGCTCAGTCTCATGAAGCAGGAGAATGTGCTTTATTATTACGCTAATATCAACACTAAGCTTATTTCCCCTATCACAATTGATCTAATATGACATAAGAAACAATAAAATAACATAAAACCCTGGTAATACTCCAGAATGAATAATATTTGGCATAACACCGAGCAGTTCGACAGAGTTATGAAGAGGATATGGTAAACAAATACCATTTCTCCTATCCTTGTCTTGGGGGCTTACATTAGAGAAAACGGAGTATACCCAAGGGCTAACTATGATATACACTCATACTCCACCATAAACATGAAACAAAAAAGTTATTTTTCTCTCTATGATTATCACACATAGCAGCAATGTGTAGAGAACCTAGGAAAACCCCCAAAAATGTCAACGTGGCTTACTTTAGTACCTGGCTTGGGTTAAGCCATATTTTGATTTTGGTAAATATTCGATTCCCCAGCCAGGGTAGAAACATTAGGTGTGTTTCTTTACCCCCTGTTCTATGTTTACCCATCCGTAAATGGGTACCTGGGTGTTTGTGGGACTAGTGTGGGTTTTATTCTGGGACACTGACCTAATTTTCTTGAAATACTCAGCATAACAAGTGCCTTTCTATACATTAGTATGTCACTGATGTCAGCTAGGCTTGTATACCTTGTACATGTACGTGTAGTAAATAAAGATATTATTATTATTATTATTATTATTATTATACTATTATTATTATTTTCTCAGTTGTTTGTTGGGTTATCTTATTCAAACTTGGGCAATGTATGATGGAAAGATACTTCTTCACGTACACCAAAAATGAAAGAAATCAGACCATAAATAGCAGAGATCACTTCTCAGCCATTAGCGGCTGCTTAGTGATATATTTTTGTATGGTTGTTATGGTTATATTCTCATTTTTTCGGTCTCATTTGATAGAATGAAAGATATATTACAGAAATAGATATGATTTTGATTGCTTTCGTGACGAAAAGTACCTTGAAATTGCACTCACAGTAGCGAAAATGTTCTATTCTTCAGCGAAGCTCAAGAGTAAACAAATGACATCACCGTCCAATACCTGTCCGCCTGCCAGTCTAAATTCCAGTACGGAGTCAAGAATGGATTGACATTATTTATACAATTATTACAATAATGCAGTAGTCTGCATAACAGTAAATCTTCTGTTTTTTTTTTTTTTTTTTTGTGAATAAAAATTCCAAATGGTAAGCAAGAGTAATTAATATAAGAGGGGCCTGTAGCTGTGACTAATGAACAAAGAAAATGTTATTTTAGTGCCAGGAATGTCTGCATTGTTTATTCTGGACCCTATTTTGAAATTGGCATTGTTGAAATTTGTGTGAAATCGGCCAAATTGCCAATTTCTGACCACTTTATTGGGTAGTTGAAATAAGTGAATGGGCGGTTTCTTGTACTCAGTTGACAGACTAGAAGTAAACAAGTTTATTTAGGTATACACAAATACAGTTACATAGATTATCATACATAGTGTATATATAGAGAACCTAGGATAACCCAGAAAAGTCAGTGACTTATTTCCAGTACCTAGCTTGGGCTTGCCATATATGATTTTTGGTAAATATTTTTTTTTCTCGGTTGTTTGTTGGGCTATCTCATTGAAACTTGGGCAATGTATGATGGAAAGATGCTTCTTAACGTACAACAAAAAAAAAGATGGACGATAAATAAGGGAGTTGACTTCTCAGCCATTAGCCGCCTCTTTGCAGTATATTTTCGTATGGTTTTTATGGTTGTATTCTCATTTTTTGGACTCATTTGATAGAATGGAAGATATATTACAGAAATAGACATGATTTTGATTGCTTTCATGACGAAAAGTACCTTGAAATTGAGCTCAAAGTAGCAGAAATG